TCCTTTGATGCAGCCCAGATACAGCTGTCTGTCTGGGCTGCATCAGTATTGGCCAGATTTTCATCCACCAGTATCCCCAAGTCGTCTATGGGGATGTTCTCAATCCATTCAGCACTCAGCTTGATACTGGGGGTTGCCCCAGTCCAGAGGCAGAACCTTGCATTTGACAATGTCAAAATTCGTGAGGTTTACATGGGTCCACTCATCAATCCTGTCAAGATCCCTCATCAGTCTTCAAAATTCAAGAAACCATGGGATAAATTTTTGATTTTAACAATATTGTCGAAAAAAAAAAGAGACTTAATGATAATAACAACTTTTAAATATTTTTGTCCTCTGATATTGTCTTAATGTTTTTCTTGTTTTTCTCTATCCAGGAGGCCAAGAAATTATTTGCTATTTCTTTTTACATAAAGCTCATCTTTTAAATAATTTTAATTTCTAGAATGGCTGCAGCTATCAGCAAAAGTAAGTTTAACAATATGAGAAATTATTAGCAGTGACAACATCAAATTAGACAGACTGGAGAATAAGCAATGCAAACCATTTTGTTAAATAGCTGCATGATCCAGTAATGACTGAGAGGTTTGGAGAGAAGAAAAATCTGGGAAGAAAAATCATCCTGAAACTGCCTAAGGACAAAGGTCTCAATTTCTCAGTCACTTGCATACCCAACTAAGTCAGTTTGCTCAGGTAGTTTAAATGAAGTTAATGGAACTGTTAGTGCAAGATATAGCTGTCCGCAAGACTGGGGCCAGAGAGGGCAATTCTATTTTCTCTAATAGACAAAGGGAGAACAATTTTATGACACAAGCAGGAACTTGTTCAGAAAATAAGTGGGGCAGACTAATCTTCAGTTGCCACCAATTAACATATTATAAAGCATGTTGCAAGACTGGGTTTATTTCCATCTTTGCTTTTTGCAAATATTCTTTTGTTATTGTTTAAGTTTTTTAAAGGCCAAGCTCAGGCATTTCAGTTATGGTACTTGTTGCAGACAGGCAGAAGGAGATTCAGTTCAAAGAGTGTACAGTCCTATATACTGGAGAATGAAACAGAAGGAAAAAATGGTACAAACATATGAGCTGATATAAAATTTCCACAGCCTGCATTTAATAGATTGAAAACATTAAGTGACTGTCAGATTGAAGAAGAAAATATTTCTATTGGAATAAATATTTTCAACAATACTCAGAATTTCAGAACCGATGCTGGAAACAGTTTGTTGCAGAATAAGTTGTAAGAACATAAGGTTCATTTATACCAAATACTTTTTTTCCCAGAAAATTTATGAAGAAAAACCTTAGAAGAGCATTTATGAATAATTTCCCCACTGGTCACTAAAGTTGAGTCGATTCTATCAATATCTCCTGGTTTCATTTTCCAGAGAGAAAAGTGTATGCATCTCACTAAACTCCTTCATTATGAATGATGAACCTCAAAACCTAAGACTCGGAGGTAGAAGATATGAGTAGCTAGTGACGTTTTTTACTGAATCTTCTGCTTCCTAGGAGGACTTCTGCAGCACTGCAGTGCTGATCTCCAACAAAAATTGAATTTTGGCTGAGGAGGACTGCAACATTTTTCTAAATTAAGAACCACAGAAAGGGTGGGTGTTATAGTTGTACTCTCTTAGTGCTGTCCTGGTGAAAGTACATTCTGCTGTGGCAAGAGTGGGAAACTGCCTGGGAAGTCCATGACCCTCTTCCTACTGGTTCTGAAGCCTGGAAAACTAAAAAGCTGTGTCTGCTTATCACACAGATAAATTTGTGCAGTGTACATAACTTCACCAGTGCTGGGATACAGCATGAGGACAGTTAATTGTGACTTAAGTGCTGTGCAATTTACTGCTGTGGGTGTGTTTTGTGGGAGCTGGGGAGTGCTTCTCACTGTAGGGTACTCACCAAGCATGAACAGCTGTTCAGGATGAACACCCTCCCAGTGCTACTCCCTGACATTGCAGTGACAGTGTTTCTATACTCACACAGAAAACTGATCATTTGTCTGCAGACCCAGAACCGTTTTGAAATAGTTCCTGTAGGACAGATGGGCACAACCTTTAGGTCCAAATTCAAAAAAATCCAGAAGATGTACCAGTGGGAAATCTGGATTTCTGAGATTTTTGGAGAATAAAACTCCTCTAAAGCTATAAATAATTTGAGAAAATTTTGACTCATGCCTTTTTTTTTTTCCTGTGAATCCCAAGAAGCAGCAGGGCTTTGACACACTTAAACTCTCTCTAATACTCCCTGACTTCCAGGGTCCCTCTTGGCCTTTCCAGCTGTTCACTGATTATTCTAAATGCTTGACTGCTTCTCTCAACTACTCACCCTCATCCTTTGTGACAGACCCTCTGTCTTTGATGCTGTGATTTTCTGCCATGTCTTTTTTCACCTTTGTGCCTTTCTCACCATGCATAGTCTCAAGGACCAAACTTCTCTCTCAGATTCTATCAGCAGGGATTTAAGATTTGGCTTCAAAGAAAATTATGTTCAGATGAAGCTGATGTATCACTTAAGCTCTTAACAGACTAAAACTTAGATATGTGTAAAACAATTTCCCCCCACACCACCAGCTGATGCTTTTAGTAAGCGCTGAAATGGCCAAGCTTAATGGGTAATGTAAATAAAGTAGCAGAAATTATATGCTTTTTTTGGAAGTTCCACGCAGCAGTGACAGGTTATTCTTTAATACATTGTCCAAAAAATGTCAAAATCTTATAGAAGATATATCTTCTACTGGTTGCAAAATTCTTTTGTTTCATTCTTTTGAAAGCTTCTGGAAGCCAGGAAAGGAATCAATATCTCCCTTTCTTAAACCCATTCCTTCCAAATTGTCTAAATTTTCATGATCAGGTTGTTTCCTCTGCTGCAGCCTTCAAATATTGATAAGCGAAGTCTTCCCCACAAAATAGTTATTACTGTGTAACCAGACTGGGCCTAAGGTTACCTTAAAAATACCACAGGGGATTGGGTTTGTTTTTCAAGAAAAGATAAGTAATTGCAGCATTGTTTACTGTGCAAGGTGCCATGTCCAATCAATGTCAAAGGGAATTTTTAGGGCTGCTACAGGAAAGAAGGATTGTTTTCACTTGGGTATCCTTAAGGCTGCTAGCTACAAGCTTGGTTTATTTCCCTTGTAAGTAAATACTGTATTAGTGAATGAAATTTCTTCATAAAAGACACAGAAAGGGTTTTTTGTCTAAACCTACTTTAGCTCTTGGGCAAATTCTCTAAACATCCAATTGCCTGTGTCCTGACAAACTATTCTTGTATCTGCTAAACTCTATTCCAACTCTAGATGATGACTGTGTTTGTGAGATCAAATGAAGTCCTCCACAGTATTCCTTTTTTTTTTTCTTCACTTGAGAGATGTTTGTAGTATCGTATTACATACGTAATTTGTAGTGTACATAGGAACATAAAAAACAACAATGACTCCCTGTCAACCAGTTTTTTGCACCTAACCATTCCTTCTTATAAAGCAACACCTGCTTTGGAACCTGACAGTATATTACAGTAAATTTCATCTCTGTGTCCAAAAATTCTTGCTGCTTCCATGGGAATTGTTAACGTACCAGGTTATCCAAGGTCAGTAGTAGTAAAGAAAGGATCAAAAAGAGTAAATATTTAACTTAAAATTTCAGTCTCTGGAGATTCAAACTCTGACTGATATTTTGGGAAAATAAGCTATCCCTGGGCATGTTTGCAGGCAACAGGTTCTCCTTATCCTGACATATTAGACCTTCTGTAACACAAGCCATTATCAGCAGAGATTTACACTTCCAAGCAACACAAATGGATTTTTTTTCTCCCTTATTGCTTGCTTGATTATTTTTTAAGTATCATTTATCCACTGATACATAACAGCACTTCAATTACAGAGCATGTCAATTAGATTACAGTTCTTTTTTTAATAAGGTTTGTAATATTTCAGAATCTCTGTGGTCAGAAGCTGCCCTTATTTTAGCCCAGAGGCTCCTCTGTGTAGTAGATCTCACTCTTTAAAAAGGTCAGGTTAATGTATGGTTATGGATTTATTTATTGTTAAGAATTTTAGCTTACAAGATTACACAGGGAACAAAACTTAAGCCAAGAATGTTATCTGAGGTACTTCAAGAAAAAAGGATAATTAGCATAATGGTAGAGAACCATTGTATTTTTAAAATGGAATGTTCTGTGATTGCTAAGAGTAGATAAGAGGTTAAGTGCAAAAACATAGTAGAATTTCTGATTCATAATGATTTAGTTCACTTTATCTCACTGCCTTGGGTCCTATAAAATAGGGCATGTTGCTCAAATGGGCCCTTTTAAGATAGTTACATATTGGGAGAATCCTTGGCAAAGCAAACACTGTATACCATTGCTAAGTCCTCAGGAAGGTCAAAAACACTGATGAAGATATGATTTTTTCCTGAGCTCCAGTTTCTGTCTTTACTACGCACAGATGTAAAGAGAGATTTAGTCTTCAGATTCACCCTTTCTCTTCTCAGCTTCTCCCCAAATTTGTTTTAGAACATTATCTTGAATAAGCTACTCTCAAAAATTGTTCTTGTTTTTTCTGTCTTATGTCAACTTATATCACCCCACAAACTTTAGTATAGTTCTAGGCCTTAGTATCTTTTCTAATCCTTGCACTTGAAATTTCTCCTCTGTTCTCCAATCTCGTCCCTATCTAAAGAGATGTTCCCAATTTCCATTGATAATTTGATTCTATCTTCTTATAGAACAATTTATTTTGCTCAGGTTTTCCTCTGAGATATTCTTCCTCATTTATTTGGCTATGTTGTAAACATTGAAACTAATTATGAAACAATATTTATCTGTGCATCCTCCCCATCTACTTTATGTAAATATTCATAAAAGATTCCACTCATTTTTATATATCCAAACATAACAGGGTTTAAAAAAAAAACCCAAAAAACCAAACATCCAAACCAAAGAAAAGTCCAGAGTTTATGATCTTTACTTGAATTATAAATAAGCACTAAGTGTCTTTGATAATATTTTATTCATATAAATTTTACGATACAATCTGAATGAAGAAGCAAGCAAGGTATAAACAAAGGAGAGTAGTACAACTCTTAATTCTGATATCTAAGGAAAAGTAAAAAGAAAATCAGTTTCTTCAGATAACTGTGGACTGTTATTCCATGATGCTTTGCTCTCCCTGTGGTTGTAGAAATATATCCTGTCTACCAACAGTCTTCTTTCTTCTTCCGTCATGGGGTTTGTGTACAACCTTGATAAGAAATTAAATATGGGAATGTAATCAGAATTTGAAGAGGCAAGAGGCAAATCTTCATTCCCCAGTTCCACATTCCTGTTTTACCATGAGCTCATATCATCAGACATTGCCCTTGCTGCCTCCCTGCATTGCAACAGGCTACAGGTGACCCCACGGAGGTGAAGCCCCCACAGACTCTGCAGGACTCTACAGAAATCTAGTATAAGATAGTTCTTTGTTTCCTTCCAAAAATAAAAAAAGAAAGTGAGAGAATTCTTCTGAAAGACTATATACCAGATAGCTTCAAAATTAAGAATAAGCACTACCATCCATTATAATTTGTAAAATTATGTATGTGACAAAGAGTGATGTCAGAACAATAACTTAGTGGTACCAACACAGCTTAGACTCTTATGAAAGTTCACTTCCTCAGATAGAAGAATTTACTGTGGAATTTAAACTAATTGGAAACAGATATTCACATGCCCACACAGCCACAAACATGTGTACACATGCATATACCCATTCCTTTCACTTACCTGTCTATTCCTGTTTTCTGAAGAAACACTGGCTTATATTTTGTCATGGAAGGAAGAAAACAACACATTTACAGGTGGATGTGAGTCATAAGTGACTTATCAGCAATGACAGCAGTATGTGTAAAGAACACTACTGTGAGCCTGCAAACAAGCTTAGGTTTAGCTGTTAGTGGAGTAAAAAGGAAAAAGAGAGGGTGCAGCTCAGTGGTCTGCCAAACACAAGGCACATGTACAACTAGCAAAAAGGAGCCAAGCATGGTTGACCTACTTATATCTGATCTGCTTTAATGCTCTCTTATATCCAGTTCTTGAAAGCATCAAATGTTTTTGGGTCCTGATTGCCTTTCCTACAGCCCCCAGGGGATAGCTGCTTGAACTCAGGGAAAACTTTGATGATGCTTCTCTCTGGATGTGAGAGGCCCCAGCAGTGACTTAACCCACTGCACCTGGGAGAGGCTTTTTACCTTAGGCTCTCACCCTTGATATTTCTTTGGTATCCCAGTCCTGTGCCTCCTTAACTCTTCTCTCAGAGCCCAGCTTGCAGGTGACTTTTGCGACTTTTTGGCTTGATGCTGGACTTGCCTCATTACTACGGATCTACCTGTTATTCTGGACTCTTGGCTGAACTAAATGATCACTGCAGACCTCCTTCCCTGTGTCCATCTCATGTGTCCCCTGCGCTGCTGCCACTGCCTGCCATCCCATCACCTATCCTGGCAGAAGCTACTGTTATTGTTGCATCCTGGCAGCTGTAATAGCTAAGTAGCAAGTCCAACCACTTAGAGAGCATAAATGCCCTATAAATGCCAGGTGGAAGGTTAATAATAAATAAGCACAATAAAAATAAACCTGTCTAATATATGGAGAGCACTAGATGACTTGAACTCCTCTGTGCCTACTCTGTAATGGGTGGCTGCCTGGTCAGCAGGAAGGGGGTTGGATTGGTTTCACCCGATTTTGCTTCTTTTTCTACTTGTCATACTGCCTAAACAAAGAAGACTGAGTGACGAGGCCAGGACAGAAGTGGTCTGGTGACTGAAAACTTTGGGGTCCCTGTAAGAGATTAGAAGGACCCCAGAATTGTTTGCCATTGCCCAGTCTGTGAACAGCTAGGCTCCGGAGCAGGAAGCAAACAGAGGTCCCTGCAAGTTGCTGAAAGGAGCAGTAACAGCTTTTATATTAGAAAGGCCATATGTTTCTGTTCATGGCACATTCTGCATCATGCACTTATATAACATTTAGAAAAAAATGTGAGATTTTGGCAGACCCAGCATTGGGGTATTGAATAGGTTGTGATTAGAGAATTTAAATTAATTTTAAATGAATAATCTTTCTTTTGGGAAAAAAAAAGGCAAAAAAAAAAAAAAAGAAAAAAGTGTATAAGTGTAGAACACTCAGTTGCTGAATTGTCTCATTATGGCTGCATCCTTGATCCAGCTGTATAGAATTATTTGATTCTCAGGGAATTCCCTGCAGTTCTCTGTGGGCTGGAAGACTTTCAACTTGTAGGTCTTCTGCCAGCATACTGACCTGAGTTGTGTAGCCTGAATCTGGGCACTGGTCTTCATTTGGCTGAGATCAGTGCCTGAGATTTCTGCTGCTGCACAGTCACAGTGAGAGTTCAGTGAGATTGACAATATGCACTATGTTCAGTCTAAAAAAGAGAAAGTATGAAAGAATTCTCATAATGGGAAAAGAGTACAGAAATCTAGATAGGTGAAGCCTAAAGGGAAGGCTTTTTAGTTTCTATATTGTGTTCAGAGCTATTTTTTGGGAGAAAAGAGAATTTTTTCTGCCTTTGGACAATGTTACAGGGCTGAGTTATTAAAAAGAAAATGTAATCACTCTCATGGTAGTGATTCTGCCTAGCAGGCTGGCAGGTTGAGCACACATATATAATACAGTCTCTGAAAAACAATCCATCTGATGTCAGGTCACATGAATGAGTCATGACTACTTATCAGTGTGTCTGAATATTTATAGTAGAAATAAAGGTTTATGCTATATGGTACCATGCTCTGTATCAAATAAACTTATGAACCTAGTAGGCAGCCTAATACTCTCATTGCTGTGCATACCTAATTTAACACACCATGTTGTCCTGGTATAACATATTATATGTTATACATTAAAGATAGCATTCTATTGCCTTGCTTTACATACAAGTTTTGTTGTAGCCTGTAACAGATCTGTAGGAAATCTGAATGTCACTTTCTTTACTCCACCAGTAATCATAAATTACTTCATGTCAAATATCTTGAGAATCCTCTGTGGGTTTCATTTCATTATTTGGCTGTGTATATACCTGCTGCAAAAGCAGTGTTCAGTTACCTGGGGTCATTTTCATTCATAGGTATTCTGTAGACCTGTCATTTATAAATACCTAGGGTCCTTGTATGCTCAAGCATAAACTGTTCATTATAGCTTCAATCATTTCACACTTACTGAAGTCAATAAAACACTTTTAAAAAAATATTTTCTAAGAAAAATGTATACCACTAAAATACTTAAACTTATTTATAACCTCTTTTTAAACATTTAAATAAGCACTCAGTGCCTGAATTAAATATAGCTCTTGTAAAGGCTTCAGAGACTTTCAGACATCTTCATATGAAAACCAGAAAATTCTTAGTTCAATTTTATTTATGCCAAAGCTCCCTATGCTTGCCATTGAGATTCAAAATCATAATCTACTAAATTATGTTCAGAAAGATCCACTCAAAGAGAAGACTAAAGAAATCAGCTCTATCAAAAATTCCAGAGGTCCTTGCCATTTTTCCAGTGCTAAAAGAAAAAAAAATTGTGAAAATAAAATAGGCTGAGGGAACTATTTAATAGAATTAGGGGAGAGACATTCAGTTCTCGCTGTGAAAACTATCCAAAATTCTCATATTTTACATCAGTGTTCCAGGTTTTGTTATTTGCCTTAAAAATAAGAAGAAAACCCGTGCCTTCAAGCAAAAGACCATTTAACTAAAAAAATCTATGAACACCTTTATATATTAAGCTGTCTCATATATTACTAACTACAATATATGTTAAAACAGATACTTTTGTGGGCTTTCCACAAGTGTCTAAACAGGTTATTAAAAGAAAATAAAAGTCCCTGTGTTTTTATATTATAGTCATGTCTTCCTCTGGCTTAAGATAAACATTTCATGTTATACAGGTTTTATCCATGACCAACTGCTGATAACAGCTTATTCCACCTCCCCATGCATATCATTTACTTTTTTCTCACATAAGGCGTTATCTGCAACATTAAAATTCAGGATTTCTGTTTTGGTTTTAGTTTTCTTTTGTTTTATAGGAAATTATCATGGCTAAGACACATGATCATTTATGACTTCAAAAGTTCACCTGGTAAATAATACTTTAGTTGTTATGAGGATCATTTTAGGACATCTCATTCCTTCCACAGTTACAGAATTTTCTTATCTGCTAATTTCTTCTTTCTTACTACTATAAACAAGATGCTTATCTTCTTAAAATGCCAAACTTAATGCTGCCTCAACACATCTGTCCAAACCCTGTGTTTGGATGGGAAACGACAAATTACAGTGTGGATTTCTAAACACCATTTTTAGCATGATTTTCTTTCATCTGCAAAAGCCATTTCATAGCTCATTGCACTGTATTTTGTTTTCTTGGCTTTGGAGGATTTCTATGGGATTTTTTATTTTAGAAAATAGTGTGTGTGTGTAAAATTGAACACTTTTTTGTGTTATCATATGAATTATAAGGAAGACTTTATATCTTAACTTTTTCTGTGATGGGGGTCAGTCACAGACTGCCTTAGTTCCTCTTGATCATGACCTATCACAGCTCACATACTGATTTTCTTTCAGTTCAGGTGATATTTTTCTAGATGTTTAGTTTGCCATTGAGTCTACAGAATTAACAGGCAGATGCTCACTATATTTTTTCAAGGCTTTATGCAATGTGATAATAACAAAAGAGATTTTTGCAAAGTCTTTAACACCTAGTGCAAAAATACAAAATTATATAACCTCTTCTAGGTTCCTAGAAATCCAAGTAGAATTATTTGTAAAGAAAAGAAGTTGAGAGGAGGGAAAAATTCTGCTTAAAGAAAATTAATGTGAAAAAAAGTCTGCAAACCACAGAGACTGTGTCTATTATATGTCTAGCAGCAACTGCTAAATGGTGAAAAATTTGTTTATGTTCTTAGTCAAGATGTCAGATGTGCTTGTCTAACAAAATGTGTGTGTTCCACTTTCAGGCTTGGTCTCCCTCACTGATGTGAAATAAAATGAAATATGATTGCTATTTCTTGAGAACGTCTCAAGGCATTTCTTAACTCTGTGTGTTATAATTTAAAAAAACCTTGGCATGGTTTCTTAATTTTACTCTATTTTTTTCCTTTGCCTGTATCTCTTCCGTGTTCTGTATCTCATTGTGTCCACATTTTTATTGTAAAAGCAGGTACCACCATCAGATTAAGATCCTAGGAAAAAAGTTCACCTTAGTGAAGTCTGGCTGAGCCAAGTGGGAGTATTTTGAACACAGATTAAGAGTGTGGGTCAAAATAAAGTAAAACCTGCAATGATTAAATTAATACAGTTAGATTAATATCTGTGATTTGAACAGAAAAGACTGAACAGAATAACTAATAATAGCAAATGCATTTTCCTCCAGTGCTGAATACTATGAAACAATAGAATCATATGTGCGGCGCATGTGCAGGACAAAGAATAGGTCATGGAGGATAGAAATTATGAAATTCTCTTTCACTGACACAAGGTCATTTGTTATTACTGGGCATGCAAAGGAAAAGAGTATGTTTAAACCTCTGTGAATCCTCACATACCTATATGCACAGATAGGTGCATTTCAAAATGTGCCCATCTCCAGTCACAGACTTCTCTGACTTCTGAATCACACAGTTTGCCTCTAGGACCATTTGAATCCTTTTTTGTTCTCCCTCCTAGTCAAAAGCATAAATTGTTTTCTGCAGGAAGGACCTTTACGGTTCAAATTCATGGTATGACAATGACATTTTTCAATGACTCCCATCACTAGCAAAAGAAACATTTCACCTGTTGCAAGAAAAAGGAGGTAAGCTACTTTCAGACACTCTTCTGAAGTAAACAGAAAGACCAAGAAATCTTTTGAGTTTTACAGAGATGTCACTGTAATACTGGAGAGTCTCAAAAGAAAATTAGGTAGGAAAATGCATTTGTTCTGTTTAGCTCCCTCTCAAAGGAAGTGCTTTCTCCAACTGCACCTTTGATTGTAAGCTACAATTAATGAACAGTTCTGGTGTGGATGGTGTTTTTCACCCTACATATTTATACCTGTACAGAAAGAAGATTCAAAGACATCGCATCAAGAGCAATTGGCTTCCAATTTACCAGGAAAAGAACATTTTTTTCTTTCCTAATTACAACTGTTTGAAATTGAAGCTTCAGTTACTTCTGTTCTCTAGTGTTTTAGATATCAATTAAGAGCTTGATTCTGGCTGTTCCTTGCTCCTTGACTGATAGTCTTCACTAGATAGTGTTAAGGCCAGAGGAACAGCAATTTCTTATTGTGCAACTTTGGATCAAGTTCAATTTATGCAGACCACATTAGGTCTTTTTGAGTGCATTATTACTGTTAGGGTCTTCCAGATTGTGTTACCATGTCTGCATTACTGAATAAAATAAAAGAGGAGAAGATATCAGATAGAGACTTAAAATACCAATAATTTTGGTGATAGAGGAATTAGTTAGGGGTTGCTATTGTTGCTGTTGTTGTAGGGTGGATTATTATTATTATTATTAATAATATTATTATTACATTTAAAAGTTATTATTTTTCGTATTATGACTTTATTTCAGTAATTAAGGAGTCTAAAGAAAGAAAAGCCACAATGAAGACACGAAGACATCTCTTGGACACTGGTAGCCATACTATGTTCAGAATTTATTTAATATATATGTTGGACCTAGGCATTAGAATTAAACATTCCACAAGTTGCATTGCCTAAAACACCAGATTAAAGGAGCAGATATTTGTATGCTATTGAGAGGATCATTCCATTCCTGTCACTTCTTGCTACTTTATAGGCTGCTGCAACATTGTGGAACCTGATTTAGGAAAGGTTGTTCAACACTGTTCAAAAAAATATGTCATTAGAAAACAGACTGATTTGAGAAATAGGCTTAGATTGCTCCTGTAAGGACAGCTGATTAACAGCCATTTACTAACTAGACTTCATAAAACCTCTCTGTTCTTTTTATGGGTTTCTAGCCATGTTCCACCCTAATAATTTATTTCTAAGTAAAATTGGGAAGGAGTTTATATTACAACTGTTCCTGAAGTCTGTTTTCAGAAAGAAAACTCTGCATTTCCTCTTCCTATGGTTTCTTATCTGTGCAATAAAATTTGTGTCTTCAGGAAATGGCTGTAATTTTTCTCTCAACTGACTGCAATTACCTGAAGTTTGACTCTATCTCTTAAACTAGAAGACTGCAATTATTTACTTTGACATTATCCCTCTTGTTCTGCTAAATATATGACCTTTTATCATATGTTCTTTTAATATTTTCCTCATAGAAAGCACCTGCACATATAAGTGTATTTTCTTTCTTTGATGCTTGAAGCTGGGTTTTATATATATTGAAACTGGTGAGAGTACTGACTGCCTGTCAC